TAAGGTTCCCACTCGAGACTGTCTTTTAAAAGGTTGAGTTTTAACTTTGAAGCATTTAAAGCTCAAGCTTCGTGGTTCACTAGAAGAAGATGGTTTTAATAATTTGCTTTGTATTTCTTTTAAGGAGAACAGTAGGTACAGTAGGAACAGGACTGACTCTTAGAGCTGGAAAACAGAAGTGTGACCTAGCTTGGAGTTCTGCAAAGTAAGGCAGCCACAGGGAAAATATGCTGCCAGGAAACATGGTCTCCATGTGTTAGTGTTACCGTGTCCTCCAGCTGCGTTTTCTGTGTTAGTTGTGTAACAGCTGGCAGTCTGCTTCACGTTTTTTGAAGGTCAGGTTCGGGCTCATGACCACTGTTGCGTGGGCTCAGAGGCTGTGTGGGGTTGGGGCCTTTAATTTCTTTCTCTCCAGGAGCAGGTTTGTGTTCCTAGTAGAACCTTGAGCCTGAGAAAAGTCTGCTTGTCGTTGGCATGGAAGATGGTGAGTGAGGCAGTGGTGAAGCCCTGGTCTCCGTGGGTTTCGTTTGTCTGCAGATGCTGTTGCACCCGGAGTTTATGTTGAAGATGGGGCGTAGGCCACGTAGGCTTTGAGGAGGGTGTTGCCCGGGAAGAGGAAAGAGGTAGACGGTCAGGAGCTTTGCCACTGTCGTGGGTGCAAGTGGCACCTAGATCTGGTGTGCAAATCTGAACACTCCTAAGTGCTCTGGGCCCTGGCTTTTTAGGTCCTTATTTTTGTGTAACTGTAACGGTCATGGGGCACTGCTGTTGTCCCCAGGTGTCCATCACTCTCCCTCCTCCCCTCCACATCTCAGGATGGGCATTCCGAGACCCACCTCTGGAGTTGGCTCTGCTGAGTGTTTTTAGATCATCCCTTGAACTTAGACAAAATTCATTGCTCCCCTGTAGAGAACCAAGTCAGTGGTCTTCAAACCTTCCACATAGGTGGGTCCTCAAGAATGGGAAAGTCTTGGGAAGCAATTCCAGGGTTAGAATGTAGAGAAGAAAGCACTGTCAGGTGCGCTGGAGCCACACGTCACTGGTACAACAGCAACCGGGGCTGTTAGTTTCGTGTGAAACGATTCTGCAGGTTACCGCATGCTCGTGTCTGCGTGCCTCCCGTCACGCCGGGGCACATCAAAGATCAAAGTGCCCTAGCAAGTGCACACCCTGAAAGGTTAACGAGGACGGGCTCCAAAGTGTGCAGGAGACTCAGGAGGATTCCGCATCAGCCTGGGGAATGACAGGTGGTCACTGGATGGCACCCTGGCAGGAGCACCAGCTCCCCTCTTGTACCTCATCTTCCACCCCCCACCTCTCTCTGGGAGTCACATTTTCCAGGACTGACGGTTGTCATTCTGCAGAGATGCCTGTTGAAAGGGAGTGGTTTTAAGGGCTTGAGGTTGTTAATCGTACGAAAAGTGGAGTTCTGGCTTCCTGGCCCTCCCGACCTGGATTGGCAGGCTTCTGATCAGATGTCAGGCAGTTTTGTAGTTGGGAGTTTGTTCCCAGCATTTGTGATGCTCTGAGAACAGAGCAGGGTGTGTGAGCTTCCTTTTCCTTCCTTGTTCCTTGGAGTCCCCTGGGACCAGCTGGTGGCTGCTCTGAGAGGTGCAGACTCCCAGGGACTCTCAGCCACTGGCCCTGCCCCGTTTGTTTGGGGTTTTCTACCATGGCCCCTGGAGGAAGGGGAAGGCATTTCCCCCACCCTCTGCCCAGTGAAAGCCCCTCGGGCTCTCAGGTAAACTTGTTTTCTCCCAGGGGACTTAACTTGTCTGCAGCTGCCCTGCTGAGGTTCCGGGGCAACACGGGGACTAAATGTGCCCGAGTGTTGGTGGGAAGGGTGTTAGGGAAGGGGAGCGCGGGGGCCTGGCAGGTTGTCTTCACAGGGCTGGCCATTCCACTTTTTATTTTCTTTTTAAAACTGTAGGACACAGTTTTAAACTTGGCATAAGCGTGAGAGTGCAGAATCCTGTGATCTGTCCGTGGGGGTTGGGACGCTTCCCCTGCTGGGCAGCTGCTTGGCTGGGGTGCTGGAGACGGGACACACTGGATTGCATCAGACTCACCTGTGGCACTTAGAACAGTCCCCACTTCTCGGCCCCTCCCTGGAGACTCTGACCCAGGAGGTCTGAGGTGGGTTGGGGAAAGTAGGAGTTCTGTTAAGCTTTGTAGGTCTTTCTGATACATAGCCAGATTTGAGAATCCTTGAACTTCCCAATGCTGAAATTTCATCAAGAACATATTCTCAAGAATGAGTAGGTGAGGTGAGAATAGACCTTTTTTTTGCCATTTCATCTCTTACAAGACTTTGAAAGATAGAGTTGTTGTTGTGTGTGTGTGTGGTTTTGTTGTTGTTGTTTTTTTAAACATCATGGAATATTTCAAACGTACGTGTAGAGAGGATAGTATCGTGACTCTAGAACCATCACCACCGTGGGCCACCCCAGACTCAGTAGATAACAAGGGCTTCCTTCCTTTCATTCATTCTTCTTTGTTTTGCTGTTGCTTGAGTATTTTGAAGCAGATCCTAGCCCTCATGTCGTTTTATCCCAACATACTATTTTAATTTTTAATTTTTGTTAAAGTACAGTTGATGTGCAATATTATATTAGTTATCTGAGCATATTTTTGTGTGTTTGAGTAAGAACAATTCCCGTAACCGCAATGCCAATGTCATGTCTAACAAAATGAACCATTCCTTGGTATCGCTGAAGGCCAGATCCATGTTTAAATATCCTTGATGGTTTACAAAAAGTTTGTTTGAATGAGGATCCAAACATGGTTTACACGTTGCATTTGCCTTTGTCTTCAGCCTATTTCCATCCCCAGTAGAGTGAGTCCCCCTCCCCCTTTTAATGCCCTTCCTTGTCAAAGAGACCCCTCTGCACAGTCTGTCTGCTTCGTGGGGGTGTCATTTAGCTTGTTCCTCTATCCCTCTGTACCTATGTTCTGTGAAATGGAACTGAGTGCTGACGGGTAGATCACATTCTGGCTTGCTTACCCCCAGGAATACTTTGTAGATGAGTCTTGTCTTCTCACATCAGGAAGGCTGGTTGACCCACTCCTAGGGGTGCAGAGGTTGGGCTGTGAGGTGGCTGCTCCCTCCTGTGCAAAGTCCCCTTCAGCCTTGCATCTTAGGGTTTCGTCTGTGGGTGACCTTTGCCTGAATCAATCAAGATAGAGTTCCAGAGCCTGGGATTAGTTTTCTATTTCTTAAATACAGACCTTACTTAGGACCATAAGATTCACATGGACTAACCTCTGAGTATTTGTAAATGAGAAGTAAAGTAGTTTCGTTTTTTGTTTGTTTGTTTGTTTTGTGAACTGGATTACAGTGGTTCAGGTATGTGTGTTTCTATTTCTGTGCTTTTTGTTTACTTCCCTTCTTGCCAGTTGAACAAAAACCATTGTTGTCATAAGAGGGTTTCTAAAAGAAACACTATACACAAGTGTGTTTATTAAATCATCCAGGGCTCAGTGCCCTCAATACAATTTTAGTTTATAAATTTAGGCACTTGTCGTGTTCGAAAGAGAACTGGATTGGAAGCCAGATTACCTGGTTCTAGTTTTGATGCTGAAGGTACGTGGCTGTCTTGGGCCTCAGTTTTCTCAGATATAGAAGCAGAAGTTTATCATGACTTGGAGCATCTTAACTTGGGGTCTTTGAGTATCAGACAGCCTGAAATTACTGACAGCATTTCGTGTGACTACGCATTTTCCTAGAGGATCCCACAAGTTTGTTGGATTAGTTTTTTTATTCTTAATGGGACCTTTGATCCTGGAAAGGTGAAGAAACACTGGTATTTTATAATAACAATAGTGTATGTAATATGGAATACTTTCTTTATGCTTTCCCACTATCCAGTTTCTTCCTCACTACAACTCTATGAAGTAAGTCCTAGTTTCCTTCTTAAATAGAAAAATAGATGTTGAATTAAGCTCAGAGTCGTTAAGCAACTTGCTCGAGGTCACACAGCGAGTAAGTAGCAGAACAGACATTCACCCTTATTCCTTCCAATTCCGAAGGGCATGTGCTTAAATTGACCCTGGTGCTTGACCACACTTTCTCAGTATAGAGGCTCTTATAGGTGATCTCCATGTG